CAATCCCAGTCCCCGCAGGCCAATGTTTCTGCTCGACACGCTTCTCTGGGGTCTGCTCCGGCCAGTCGGGAAGGCCTGGAAACAGCAAGGCAGTGATTGAGATCTACCAATTAATAAGGGTGTCGATGAGGGTTCCTTAACGTGTGTACGGGCTCTTTTGTAAATGGCTTGAGCGTATACGTGTCTCAAGAATCCAAGACTAAATTCAGAATCTATAAAGAAGCAGCGACATCATATAACTTTGACACAGTGCCAGGCAGCACTAACTGTTGCAAGTCCGGTAGCCCAGCTGCCTATAACACTGAATTTGAGGCCGTGGAAACATGCCTCAACCCGGCATGCAAAACATTTTCTGAAGCTTTGCCAAATTCCTTGAGCTCAGCAACAGCATCTTCATATCAATGTCGGAGAAAAGTACAACCACTCAAACACGATTCGGACATCACCTCCGAGCACAACAGCAGCAACGTGGCAGCAAACATCCAACCTTCACACAGAAAGCGAAACCGTAAATCCTGAAAGTCCTCTGGGGTTTAGCTTCGGCCCCTTGTAAGTCTAAGATGGTAACCTGAAATATCAGAGGCTTCCAAACGAAAAAAATAACATTTACTTTATACAGATTATTCAAACCTCTGTTATAAGGTTTCGTGGGGGCATGGCCTGTGCTTGCAGCCGCTGCGGCGGCAGCCGCCTCACCTGGAGCCTCGTACGTCGTACAGTCACAGAAATTGTGGACCTATTCTCCCGCTTGAGCATTAGGATCTGGGGTGTGTCTTTGTGTGTGTGTGTGCACACGTGGTTTCACCCGAGGACGTCTTGTGTTCGTATGTAGGCATGCCCCATCAAAAAAGAAACTCAAGGGTTTTCTTGAGGGCATTGATCTGATCTAGATGAACCGATCAGGGAACTAAGGATTGTGTCAAAAGTTGTTCGGTCCCCGATTTTGGTCGCCGCCGTTGCGAGGTTGAAGGGAAACGTCCGTCCCAGCATCCAACTGAACCCAGCAATACATTGTTGACGTCGTAAGCCCGTAAAGCCTTGCCGCCTTGCCCCGGCCCTAGGTCCGAAACCGGACAATCCCCCTTATCAACTAACCCTGCCGTCCATGAGCAACACGAGATTACTAGTAGGATCCCCTTGAAGTTCCTATCACGGCCGTGGGGTGGCGAGCTATGCTCAATCGGCGCCGATCGCTTTTCCACCGAAGGAAGCTCAGCTGCATCATGCATCCCGTCTAGGCCGCCCGCACTCCTTAGAGTCGTTACTCGCAACCGTTCAGGGGGACAATGCCGAGACTAGTAGCAAACCTTCTGATAATCATCGTGGTCCATGAGAAACCGTTCAGCTATGTGATAATATGCTCGAAACAGTTCAACGAGTTCCATTTCCATTCGCTGCGGTGGAGTCGCTGTCGACGCTCGCCTAGCATACAAATTCGGGTGAAACAATCTTGGAAGACCGTAGTCCGAGCCGGCCAAAAGAAAAGCCAGCCGCCAAAAGCCATTCTTTGGCTGGCCCCAGACCGCGGTCAAGACCCTCGCATCGGATCTGAAAAGTGCAGCCTTTCGCTATTGCCATTTCCAAGCCCTGTGCAATGACTGTACATGCTTGCTCGAGCCAGGTGCTGTAGGCCTGCCCAAGTCGAAGGCTGGTGCTGGTAGCCGAGTAAGGCGAGATGACAACAGGAGGAGGCGGTTGCAGATCGAAGCAAGGTCCGGGGGAACTGGCAGGGAGACTGAAGACTGGTAGCGGAGCCCAGTCGGGACACACTCCGAGAGCAAAGGCCTGTTTGGCTGCTTTAGTGCGAGTGCTGGTGTCCGGTTCTCCAAGGAGATCGGTATCCAGGAGAAGGAGCACATTTTCTGTCGCTTGTTGGACCCACTCCTCACAGGGAAGCTCCTCTGCCCATTGCTTCACTGTGTCACGGAGCACTTGAAGAGGCTCGATGAAATCGGTGACCGTCTCCCAGACAGTCGATTCATCCGCTTCGGTGAGCGAATGAAGAGCTGCAAGGAGTGCATCCGAGCAGACAGAGCCCGGCCCGCAGGCTGTCGCAGAGCTGAAAGATCCCGGAACTGGCATGGGAGGAAGCAGCGGGTGCATGGCTGAGTCAGGAGCCGGCGCGGTGGCCGCGGGCGTGAAGCGTCCCCAGCCCTCGATGCACTTCCCGCTAGAAAGCAGGTGTCGGCGCAACCTCCCCACTGTGCCGTAGGATTTGCCGCAGGCGTAACACAAGGGTGACCGTCCAAGAAGGAAAGCTTTGGAGCGGTAGCCATGAACTCTGGCGGCATGGCCAGCCCAAGCCACTCGGGACTCGAAGAGTTTTCCGCATGGGATGCATACTTCAGGGAAAGCTGGGGCCTGGATGTCCCGATGTGCTGGAGTAGGGGCCAAGGCAGACAGTGCTTTATAGAGCCCATCAAGAGCTGCGAGGACTTTCTGCCGGCAGCTTTCCAGCCCTTGGGCCCTGAGGAGAAGGCCCTTGTAGCGGCCCGGCTGGTCGCATATAAAGCTGCACCAAGCATCCCACGCAGTCAGTGGGCTCGGCAGTGTGCATGTGTGATGTGTCCAAGCATAAAGCCAAGCGAGAGCATCACGCATGGCCGCAAGGTACGCTTCATCGGCTCTAACTGCTGCCCATAGCTCGTCAGGGGCAGATGTCAAAAGCAAGCGGAGGTACAAAAGTCTTTGCACATAAAGCCACTCCTGCGGGCCAGGCAGGCCGGTCAATGCAAGGATTGTGCACACGTTGAAGTGTTGATCTCCAGAGGCTGGGATCCCGCATATCGCCCGGTACATGGCCCAGAGTGTGCCGCTAAAGGCTTGCATCTCTTGGCGCTGCAGGGGTGGCCAAGCTCCGCTGCCGAACATGAGCTTCGGCAGCACCGACGCACGAAGGATGAAGGCACGACGTGCAATAGGGACGCCTTTCGCCTTATACACTTTGTGCCTACCTTCTGAGAAGGAAGCCCAGGCCTGAGAAGACCTGTAGCGAATCTCAAGTAGGAGCCCACCCCGTATGGCCTGAAAGACGCCAAGATGGCGATAAGACGCAACGAGCGGGACACTGACTGGCTCGGCAGACTCGCGCAAGGCTTTGACAGAGCCGTTGTGTCCTGTGGGCCCGAACAGGTGGCGCTTCATTTTGCGGGATCCTTGTCCAGTCGCCTGAGCTAGGACAGCGGTTTTGTTGGGTCCAAAGGACATCCTGAACCCAAATCCCGCGAATGCATCGCACAGGCTGCCCACACAGGACGCGATAGCCGAGTCTAAGCGGGCAGGGGAACGGCCAATCCTCATAGTCGCTGTGTCGTCTGCCCAGACTACATCGCCAATCTCAATGGTAGGTGCAGTGTCTGGGCAAGCTGAGAGGACTTTTTGGCCATCCCAAGGCAAGCGAGGGGTCGCAGCAGCAGAGGTGTCGCAGAGGCCCTCAGTGGAGTCTCTCTCGGCAAGGATGCGTCCAATGAGCATCCCATATAACACGTCGGCCCATGACGATCCGGGCCGAGTACCCCTAGCAGTCAAGACAGCCAGAGAATCGCCGCGAAGCATGAACCAAGAGTTGCTCGACAGCTGCTGCGCAGTGGCCTCTAGCCAGGAAGAGGCGCCCGCTTGGCTGAGGCCTGACCTCTCCTGAGCATGGGCCTTGAGAGTGGCGATGTCGTCATCCGACAGACCTAGGCCTTGGCAGACAACCTCAGGGAGGGCAAAGTCACTTGTGTCGGAGTCGCCTCGGGAAGCCACCAGCTGTCGCACCACCGCATAAAACGCGGATGCTATGTCGGAGAAGAGCACGAAGCAGGTTTGGCGGCGGAGGTAGTTAGCCCGAAGGAAAGCTCTTACCAAATGGGCCCCAAAACACACTGATTGTCCCGGCTTCCCTCCCAGTTGGAGAGAAGGGGTTTTCTGGACAAAAAGATCGCGGATCGCAGGCCGGACGGCTTGGTGCAGAATCTTTGCCATGCAAGGCAGGAGGATGATCTGGCGGTAAGACTCGCACGTGTCCTTAGGGCCGCGCCCTTTGTGGAACCAGATGGCTGTGCCGCCCTTCATCCCCATGGCTTCCTGCCCACGAAAGACCATCTTCATGAGGAGTGGAAAGAGTAGTTCCGTGCAGTCGGGGGCGAACTCGCGTAGCAGCTCATTCGGGAGGCCATCCATGCCGGTGGCTTTCCCGCGCTTGGAGCACAGCATCAATCGTAAGAGGTCAGGCTTCGTCGGAAGTTCGCTCGTGTCAGCAGGAGCAGGCCACTCGGCAGGACAAACGTCGAGGAGTGGGCCGAGATGTGTCGGAGGCATTGTGGATCCTGCTTCCATCGAAGCAAAGTAGTCACGCCACCGCTTCATGGCTGAAGGGGCATCGGGACAAAGCAAGCCTTGGAGGTCGCGCACTTGCGGCAGAGGCTCTGGCGCGAAGGGCTTCTTCCTTTTGTGGCGAAGCAGCTTGTGCATAGCATCATGGACCTCAGAGGTGGGGCCCGAGGCCAGCTTTTCTGCTAAGCCTGAGGTGTAGGCTGCACGGTCAACTTTACAAGCGATGCGCAGCTGCTTGCTTTGCACTCGGATGTGATAGAGATGCAGGATGGAGGAGACCAAGGCACGATCCGCCCAGGCTCCGAACCATGGGGTGGCCTCACTGGAAGGGGCCTTGAGGAAGCAGAAGGCAAGGGATTGGTGGCGACATTGCTGCTGTAGACGAGACAGGCCCCGCTTGAGCGCTGTAACACGGCGCTGCAGCACCCATGTGCTCTCCTGCAAATAGACATGGTGAGGCCGAGCCTTTTGGGCAGGGGCGATCTTCGAGAGGCCCTGTTGCAGATGGTCGACCAGAATGGCAGCGTGGGAGTGCACCGATGTGCCCCAGGGGATTTTAGGGGCTGTCTGGAGCACATGCTGGATGTCGCTACGGGAGCTGGTGTCAGCGAAGATGCTTCGTGGGATGCGCACTCGTTGTTCAGGGCGTTTGGAGCCCGGCATGCACATACGCACAGAGCAGCTCACAGCTGTCGCAGTGTGGTCAATGATAGAGGCAGCGACGTGGATGCCCGGGTCGACCCATGCCTTGCACCTCCCCTCTTGCCAATTTGAGGAATGGCAATGAGATCAGGTCTGCATGGTTTGCCATTGCGTTTCTGGTGATACGTGGCACCTGGTCCTTCTTGGCATTCAGCGAAGGTGCATGGCAGCCAACAGCGGCTCTCACGGAGTAGCTCATGAAACAGGGATCCAGCAAGATCCTCCTCTTCAGGGCATGCTCCGGAGATGAGGTCGGAAGGCACGCTGCCGACGGAACAGTTCAGGTCGCCAGCAAGTATCAGCGGATCATTGCGGCGAAACTTGGCGACCAGCTTTAAGGTGTCATGCCACCAGTTGGTGAGGAGCTGCCGCTCCGTGGCCCGGTGGGGGGCGTGAAGGGAGCCGAATGCCAATGCAAGCTTGCCGGAGGAAAAGCGCACAAAGATGCGGCGCGGATCGGCGTGACACACATTAAAGCATTGCTCCTCAAAGACAACATGGTTGGTGCCATCATCATGTGCAGATAGAACTCGAAAACCATCCTTGAACCAAAGTTCCGTGCCGTGCTGGCCCTTGTCGGCTCCCCCGGAGAAACGGAGGAAGCCGCCAATTTTGGAGGTACCTTGCGGGCATCGGGTTTCCTGTAGAGCCGCAACGGAGACTCTTGAGTCAGAGAGCTGTTGGGCCAACAAGGCCGCCCTAGCAGGGCGCTGATGCAGACCACGCTCTCCAGACCCACAGCCTTGGTTGTCCTCCAGGCAGGCACCAAGACTCAAGGTGTTGAATGACAGTATGCAAAGGGCAAGATCGAATTGCTGATGCCGGCCCTCAGAGGAATCGGGAGATGTGATGTGCGCTGGAAGGAAGGGACGCAGCATTTGATCATAGCTCAGTCCTTGGTGCCAAGAGTCGTCTCCCAAATTCAGTGCATTAATGGGAGGCAGGGCGGGGTCGCACGCAGCTTGGCGAAGCGCAACAGTGGCCCAGGGCAGGTGGTACGCGCCTCTGGACAGCCAGAACCTCAGAGCCTCGGGTGGGATCTGGAGGCATGGCGCCACAGTTTTCGAGAGAGCTCCTTCCTTAGCCAACAGGTCGGCAATCTCATTGAAGAAGTGACCCTGGTGGCCAGGTACATACACGAACCTGTCGGCAGTAGGGTGCATGCCTCGCCGGAGATCGAAAGCATGGCTCATGGCTTGAGCACAACCCCCCGGTTTGCAGGCAAAGCGGCCTTCAGCTCCATGCAAGGCAGATATGCAGTCAGAAGCAAAAGTGGTATCGATGCCAGGGAAGAGCGCCCAGGCCGAAAATGCCGCAATGGTCAGGGCAAAGCACTCAGCGACATATGCAGACAATGCCTCTTGCGGTCCGAGAATCCAGGGGGGTACGCTGCCAAAACCCGCACCTAGAACGCCATAAGCAGCATCAACAAAAATGCAGGCCCAACCAGCAAAAGCGGCCCGGTGCTCTGAAGCGGGAGTGAAGGAGCCATCAGTAAAACAGAGCGCCCCTTGCCACCCATCTTGCTGCAACTGCTGCATGACGGAGGAAACTTGACATTGCAGCAGTTGCGCTTCTCGGAGAGCAGGCAGTTGTGTGAGGCGTTCCCAAGGCAGCAGGTCAGCCTGCAAGGACCGTAGCTGGTGAAGCTGCTGCCTGGTAAAACCTAGAGGAGTGCGCCCGAAATGGATCTGGTCTCGGTTTGGAGGTTGGTCCGGCACCTGGAAGACCCCAGTATCGCTGAGAGCATCTGGCGCTGAAGACAGCGTCTCTGCAGCATGCATGAAGAATGGGCTTGTGGCAATGCTGGTATCGCCAGTTGCAGGTGCGTGCGCCACCAGGGTGCTGAGTTCGAGCGCTCGAGGCGGGTCTCGTGCAGAGTGGTGGCTTGGCGCAGAAAAGTGCTGCTGTAGAACCTCTAATACCGCAACGGCAATGGCAAATGCGGCGCACCCAGGAGAGCTAGCAGCGACTTCCAACAGAGTATCTTGATGGCTGGGAAAAGGCAGGGCGTCCGGGCGCTGACCTGGATTGCTCGGGCTGCCGGCCTCGAAAAACACAGCATCGCAAGTATCGGCAATGTCGGAATCTGGGCTGCTTAGGACTGGGAGGGCATGCAAGCTTCGGCAGGGTGTAGGTATCAGGTTGGGCCTGGTGGCGCCATGGCTATTAGCCGGATTGGCCGAGTGGTCAGTGTGGCAACTTGGCAACATGCCATGAGATGGTAGTTGCATGCCTGCCACAGGCGTACACACAAAGCACAACCAGCAGAAGATGAGGCAAGCTCCGCTAGCCGGCAAACGGCGCAGCCTACAGCACAAAACACCAAGAGCACAGGCCTTCGCACCTGTATACAGAGAGGTATCAGCATAATAATGCTGGCTTTCTTGAATCAGCGGAGGAGGACTGCCACGGCTGTTTGTGAGGGAGTACCATCCAGCTGATCCGTAAAGAAGGATCAAAACAAGCAGGAGGACAGAGGTATGAGAGCACTTGCCTAGTAGGAAGGCTTGTTGTGGAGAATGCTCTGCACACGTTTCGACTCGACTGCCTGTTATCCACAGATTCCAAATGGAATCACAGCTGCGCACATCCTGGCGCACAGCGTGCGTCCGTGGATGTGGGTCGGGAGGTCCAGCCGGCGCTGGCTGCGCTTCATGCGCCCTATTGTCTGGAGGCGGTGTGTCATCATCAGAAGATTCGCTGGATCCTGTCTCTCCGCCAGTCAAGCTGTCAGTGCGGTCATCATGGGAGCTAGAGCTGTAGGCGGCGTCATCAGGATGCATCCTATTGATGAAGACGTAAGCAACGGTGATGCAGGTGCACTGTTCGATGATGAAGGCAGCCCCATCCGGGGTGTCAGCCGTGTCGGCACCAGCAAAGGCGACTGACAATCCCAAAGGAATATCGCCACCGTATTCATCGGCTAACTCTTGCACAAGCACGTGGGGATGAGGCAAAATGCGTCGTTCAATGGGCATGAGGACAGGTCGCTGATCAAGGACCAAGACAAAGGGTCCAACCGTAGGAAGATGTCTTCGCTGCAAGAGTTCCGATGCCACTAGAACAGACGCCATTGCCCATCCTTGGTGGGAAGAGTCAAGGATTGGAGGACTAGGGATCCGAAAGGCTATAGTGTCAGGCCTATACCCTAATGCCTCCGCGACTGCAGAGCTGCGGACCGAGAGGTTGCCATCGCGGATGTCGAATCGAGTGTTGTGCTCATCTGCCAATAACCACACATGAGGGCCGAAGGAGAAAGGCAAATCGACTGCAACATCCCAGCCAAGTGGGCTGCTGAGCATTTCTGCGAAGGTGGTTCCATAGGGACCTTCCGCGCGGTAATGCGATACTCGGAGGACATCACCCGACATGAGTGGCACGACCTGCCCATAATGCAGCGGCTCGTTGCCGGTAGAGAAATAGATCTGCAAAGCCGCGCCTCTTCCAGCTCCGATGGCGGTCAAGACATCCTCTCGAGAGCAGAGACTTGGCAGGAGGGCAGCGAAGCACTTGCCATTAAAGGACCTGCAATCGAGCAGAACAATGGCGCCCTCACATGTCCAGTCAGGTAGGCAAAGCAGCGTGGCAAAGGTGCCAGTCGGTTGTGGTTGGGCAGCGCACAGATGCGGAAAGCGTTGTCTTGCTGCATCTGGTCGAAGTGTGCGAACCTGGTCCAAGGCGGCGCGCACTGTGCAAGGGGTGCCTATAGAGTCAACAAATGAATCTCGGGCCTATACCCCGGCGCTAGAACCACAAAGTAACCTGTGAGAGCTGGGGCGGGTTCAAACCCCAGGTCAAGGCGAGGGGCAGGGGTCTCAAAGGTAGGGATGGCCGGTCTTTCAGGAGACCTCGTGCCTCGGTCTGCAATGATTCTGTCATATATGGTCCTGCCAGTTAATTGCGATTGCCTGGTGCCTGCAGGAGGAGTAGCATCGGGTACTCGGCATGTCCGGGGCAAAACAGGCTTAGACACCACATTGCATGTTTTGGGGGCTGCAATCAGACAGGAGGACAGGTGGCCGTCGAGGTCATCGGCTTGCCCGTACGGCCAGGCGGCCGGCGCTGGGCTTGTGCAGAGGCCCTGCCAAAGAGGGCAGACAGGTTTACTGGGCAAGTATTCAATGCCAGGTAAGGGATCCGCAAAAAGCATCGGATCGAGACCAAGGTCACAGTAGGAGGGCATCGCGGGGGCGCCCCTAGTGTGCGCACGATCCGCAGCTGCTGACCTGTCTGGCGATCGCGATCTGGACCGCGGGGTTGACTGCCCATGCGTGGCCCCATCTCCACGCAGCCGAGGTCGGCTTTCAGAGCCTTGCAAGTCATCGCGGTCGTCAGGATCCGCACCGGATCCATCAGATTCTGAGTCTGGCTCGGATTCAGAATCTTCATGTGCTGACCCGTCATCGTCCTCGTCGGCCACATCAAGCACAAAACCGAAAGTGACAGTATCCCCTTCCGCTAAATGCAGCATCCCTCCTAGACCGGGTCTGGGTCGAACTGCTATCCTGTAAGCCGGAGGGTTCCGGATATGGAGGTAGTTGATCAAGTGTTGGGGGTCGACTCGGCGATCCGGGAGGTAAATATGCATGGGAAGGGCATTGACTCTGCGTGGGTCCAGGAAAATGACAATCCCATGTCGGTCGGGGGTGGGGCACAGAGGGAATGTGGCAAGTATACCTCTGCATTGAACCCCGTGCACCGCAAGGTCGGTGAATGCATCGCCTGTCGGGACACTGCAGATGGATGTCTCCGGCCTGCGCTCCACCAGGTCCGCGATGAAATCCCTGGTTGACACTCCAGGAAATCGGCGGCCTGAGAAGAGCAGGTGTTGGTCATGGAACAACACCATCACGGGACGATCGGCCGGCACTTCTGGTAACTGTGGCTGCGGGAGCCACATGTTGGGCCGGTTAAGCCTCGAAGTGACAGGACTGAACCATATGGGCTGTTCGTCTGTAAGACGAAATTGCACAACTCCACCCATAACAGCTAGCACACTGTCGTCTGTCCCTAGCGCAGAGGTGTGGCCAAAAGGATAGGCATGCCAGTTCTCTACGGAGTGTCTGTGCGCCTCTCTCCTGCAATCCCCATGGGTGATCCGGTCGTGGGAATATGCAGCGTAGGTAGGGCCGCCACAGGCAGCGAAGTCGTAAACAACGACAACAAAGCCGGAAGTCGGCACCCACGATGGAGCCAAGATGAAAGACCCGTGGTCAGGAGCCAGTTGGGGCATGGTCGGATGGGCAAACTGACCGAACTCCGACTGGAGTTCTCGAACGGAGTCATGCACGGCGGAGATCATAGTGGAGTACTGGCAGGGAAATCTGAGCGTAGCCCGAGTCACTTCAGTGCGGAAATGTGGTGCAAGGACCTGAAATACTGCATCGACAGGAGGGTCTGCCAAGGGTATCCCTTCTCCTGCGTTGTAGGGAGGCGCAGGCAAATCCGCATTTTCTTGCAAGGGGGCAGTAAGGCAACGCACTTGTTCCCGGTCAGCACGCAAAACTTCTGCATCCAAAGAGTCAATGTCACCAGTGTGACTCAAGGCATCAGTGCAGAGATTGCCCGGATGTGTGGGAGGCGGGAAATCTTCAGGCAACATCAACGTGGCAGTGATCAGGACGTCCACTGCTTCTCCCCACATGGGCGAGACCGCCCAGACCTGAGTCGGCATGGCCAAGGCCGACAACATGTAGAAGGTGGTCTTGTATATGCACTTGTTCAAGCAAGAAAGGGCGGTTCCTTGGCTGTAGAGGTGGGGTCCCCGCGAAAGGCCCCTGTGCTTGGCTGCAGAAGGGGCGTATACTGTTCGGTAGCGGACGTGCCCAGCGCAAGCCCCGAGGGCACAAGCACACGCATGTTGACAGCCGCGGGCGCCTTTCAAGAAGCGAAGGATGGGGCATAGCGACACAACCTGCGCCAGTAGCATGCTCACCAAGCTGCACAAGAGCCAGAAAGGAATGCCCAACAGGAGGTTCAGTGCATGTTGTTCAATCTCTGGTAGAGTGGGCACACGGGTCCAGCATTGGCCTATGCAAAGCGTCACCCCTAGCACCACAAGAAGGCGACGCCAAAACACAGCCGCACAGGGCCCAGGTTGCAGCTGCAGAACGGCCACCAGCCGATACTGCAAGAATCGCAGGAAGCAGCTTGTGCAGGCCGCACAAGAGCAAAGGAAAGCCCAGAAGAGAAGAGGGCCCATATGCATCATCGCAGTCGCTCGCGTCCCAGAGCCACCGATACGCGTATTTGGCGCCGACGTGCGATTAGCAACCCACCTAGGGTGGAGCTCCCTATTGAAACCGGGGCAATCTAAACCTCTAGGGGGCGGGGCCGGTGGAGGGGAAAGGCCTCGACAGTGCAGGGCACAATCCAAAAGTCGAAGGCTGCAGGGATCATGGCAGGGGCGTTGCACCAAAACTTCCAAAGCCCAAGGAAGATTCAGGCAAGCCGAGGACAACAGGAGGCGACATGTGAGGGAACCTGGCCGAGTGACTGGAGTGGCATCTACGGAGCCTTGAAGGGCCCAGAAAGCCTGTACAGCCGGGCAGTATACATGGAAGGCCACCTCTGTTGGGCAGCCTTTGGAAAGAGGCAGCCGACCGCCACACCCCAGGCATTGCGTAGCTATGGCATCGAGGGACTTGGGAAATCCCTGACTCTCCAGCACACGGCAAGGAGAGTCGAGGGAACCCGTTACCCGCGAAGCCCAGAGCCACACAAGGCAGGGGATAGGCAGCCGCTGCCTCGACATCATTCCATCCTTCCCAATCCTGGGCTTTGCGACGTCCGGTTCGTAGCGGCACCATCCAGCTCGTCTGGGTCGTCTTCCACGAGCCGGGATGCCTTGTGCTTGGGCTCGGCTTGTCGGCCCGCACCACCAAAGGGAAGCATCGCCTTGCGTTTGGCCTCCTCGAGCTTTTCCGCCAGGCCTTGTGGATCGTCTTCGGGCCCCACAGCGCCATCCTTGGCACCGGTATACGGTGCTGTTCGAGGCGTTCTTGGGCGATCTCGGCGAAGTGGTTCCGTAGGGGACTGCTCGGTGAGTCTGCTCGGCAAGCCAGTGCCCGCAGGGGCAGGGCTGGCCACTGGTGTCCCACCACTTCCCAACATGTAGGCATCGGTCCTCGCCGGGGATGGTTCGGCACCGCCACCACCAGGGGTCCGAGCTTCGGCATGAGTGGGTCGCAGTGGTGTGATGGGAGGCCCTTCTTCCCTCTCGCTGAGAGCTCTTGTCAAAACACCGCCAAGCTCCCGCGATTGCTCGGCGTCCCATGCTGCCTTCATCTTTTCCCACTCGGAATCTTCCTCCTCCATCGGAGTAGGCCTGGCATCTGAAGCAGGGCAGTAGGCTTTCCTCACTAGACTTCTGGCGGCAGCCTGGGCTTCTTTCGCTGCTGTCACCTCCTTCTCGTGTCGAGCCATCGCGGTGTTGTAGCGTTTCTTTTCTCGCACCCAAGCAGCCTTCAGCTTCGCATCGAATGCTTCCCATTGTGCTCGAGTCTGTTCTCGTGACTTGCACGCTTTGCCCATTCGCACCTCTGCTTTCCGAGCATGGTTGAGCATCGCTTGGAGGTCGTGGAAAATCTCCGTTACTCCATCGTCCCCATCGGTGGCCTGTAACTCTTTCCGAGCAATATCCCGGCCGTCCTCCTTGATGTCCACTGTAGCAGCATCGAAGGCAGGGAATTGGGGCTCCTGAGCTGCACGCCAGGGCCACTGCGAGGGCGATTTGGCACCATGCCAAATACCCCATTTTGCGCGAGGATCGTCTTGCCATTCCGGCCTTCGCTCCGGTTTCCACTCTGGCTGCCACTCTGGCTTCCATCCTCCTCCACGCTTGCCCATGCCACACGTCTTGTAGACGGGTCGTGAGTGATGAGCCTCTAGAGGGCGCAGCTGACGGTTCAAGGGGCGAAGGCCCGAGTGCCGCCGCTTGTGGATTGCTTTGCGGCACCTAGAGCGATACTTTCGCTCCCTCCTGTGCCAGTTCGGCGAGGCGACCGTGGCTCTCCCGAACGAATGCGTGCGGTTGTCGCACGTGGGGCTGCTAGCAATTCCCGCTATGGGATCTTCTGAGCCCTGTTCAACGAGTAGCCTACTTGTCAGGTATCATGGGGAATTACTTGGAGGGTCGGGGGACTTAGTAACTGGTTCTTTTAGGGACTTATAAGTACCATAACCCCAATTAGGGTCCCTTTCAGGGTACTTATAAGTCTACTAACTACCTGCTTACTAAGTCCGCCGACCCTCCAAGTAAAGGTTATTAACCTCTTTGGTTAGAAAGGGATTATACAGGGACTATACTACCCAAAAAAGGTTAAAGGTTGCCCACTCTACTACTAGGGTAGGTGCTTGGGCATGGCTGTTGGTTTCGAGGCTCCGAGTCTCAGCTGCTAGGCCCAACACGACAAGCGTTTTGACGTTGGCAGTGTGGATGTTCCTAGACCCTCCATCTACTAGACCCAAGAGTAACCTAGGAATAAAAAGGGTGCCCTTTTTGGTTTAAAGGGGCTTATAAGGGAACCTGAACCCTAAAAAAGGGAATAAGGGCCTACTGTAGGTCCTAGTCTACCCTCGATTAGACCCTAAATGCCTCTTATTTGGGACCTGATACGGTACAAGGAGGGTCCTGGCTGGCAATCTTCCTGATGAGGATGCTCCCGTTGGTGGTGTCGTGAAGATGAAGCTCGTGCTGGTGATGATTTCATACAGCCAGGCCGATTCATTTTGGAACAGGCTCTGCTCCATGATAGGAGCGCGGCACGGTTCTGTGTGCATGGAATAGACACCAAGCGCAACACCAACGAGCGCAAACAAACAACAAACAAAACCGCGACATACCTACTCCAAGCCGAGTTCCTGACGGTTGTTCGGGGATCTGGGCTGGCATAGGCTGTTCTGCGGCCCAAGACTCCCATCAACCGGCTGCGATGCTGGCACTTGCAGGAGCCTTTCGGCAACTTCAGGCACGTTGTGTCGAGCTGCTCTGATCCGTCGTACCCCGAAAGATAGCAGGTAGACATGAACAATTCCAAAGACAGTTTCTACGCAGAGAGCTTCGGACAACCAGGGGAGCGCTACATCTGGCACATACACGGAAATCCTACGCTGTCCTACACCCTCAATTTCCAACCTGAACCCCGAGCTTGCTTCAACCACCAACAACATGAGTCTGAATGATTACTCATTATAACTGATAAAAATACACTTTACTTTACGGCCCCTTCTTTTAACAGAACAGGGGTCCGGTGTCCTGAAGCGATTCTCGCACTCACTTGGGGTGCGCCCGGGCACTCGACTGGCCAGTAGCCTGCAGCATGTTTTGGGCTCCGGCTTGAACATGTAGGCCCCAAAGTAGTTCCATTTCGGGATTACCTTATAGGATTCTATATACGAGCCCCAAAATAGAACTACTTTGGGGCCTTAGGGTAAACATGTAGCCCCCTGTTGTTAGAGTTTTGATTTGCCCACAGACCTCCACCCCACCACGTCCCATTTCCTGCCCACTCCCCGTCCCTGTCTCTCCTTCTTCAGTTCCAAGCCATTTCCAACTGATGTAGGTTATTGGAAAGATGGTTCTGGGTCTGTTATCTCTATGCTATATAATTACAATAAGGCACCCGAAAGACTGGTCCAGTGATTGACTGAAGGCCCCTACAATTCATTCTCGGCGGGTCGAAGCGCAAATTCAAGACTCTGGAATGGTTTAGGGGCTCGGGTTCGGGTCTTTAAGTCTCCTTGGAAGCTTTCAAGCGAATCATTGCTTCGGCAGCATTTGATCGCGTCCTCTGTGCCCTAATACTTTTTGCTCGTCGCCGTCATGGTCATTAAGCCATCGTTAACCATCCTTCTTAATGGTTCGTTGCCTTGCGGCTCAACACTTTCGGCTGCCGGCCGGGTCACTCCCAGTTGCCGTCCACGTCACCCAGGTCTGCATGGGCCTTTCGCAGCAGAGGGCCCCGGAGTCAGCGCAACGGTCTCCCTAGATCCACCCAACATCCCAAACCCTCGACCGACATTGTTTGTACTGAGCCCTGCGAAGCTGAAACAACCTGCAAGAGCATAAGTCTCAAAACCTTCTCGTCACGGCTCCCCGAAAGAACACATCACTCAGAATAAGGATGCCGAAGTGGAACTGAGTGTCTCTTTGGCAAAGGACCATTTACGAAATGAATCCGGAAGGATCCCCAGCAGTTGACACAGATCCTGGCCCTTCGACAGAACTTCACTACACACACACACAGCCCATGCAAGCTGTCTGGAGAAGCGCAGCTGAAACTTCCCCTAGAGCCTACACGCCTACGGTTCAAGGCTTCCGCACGCGGAAAATCGTGGGCAAAGCCAACTTACGGAGCCGCTGTTGTTGGGAATGCGACCAGGAAACAACCCTGCATTTCCTCTAAGTCTTGTGCGGAATTGGTGCGTGGTCTTGTCGCTACTAACCCTATACGCTAGAGTTGGTTCTCCTTGTTGTACGTTGCGAAGTGAAGATAGGTGGAGTCATTGTTAGCCTATCCAACAGAATGGATGTTTTATCATCATGGCCAGCACGCCTGCAGCAGCCGCTTGTCATCCAAGGGAGACCAAACTGACTCGGCTCGCGCCCGTGCCTGTAGAACGATAACAGTCATAATGTTTTTTTGACACTCACACTCGGACAAGCCTGGCAAGGTCTGCAGTTGTAGGATCGACGACTTCGTTAACTACTCGTCAAGTCGATTCACTCAATGAGTCTTTGTCAGAAGGAACAAGGAGAAACGACACCAACAAATATCAAGCATAGGGTTTAGGCTAGATTTGAAGTTGAGGTTATAGAGTTGAGCAACACCCAACACAGAGTATAAAGAATATTAACAACGAGAAATTCCTGGTCATCACCACAACAGTATTACGCACAACACACTGTAAAATCCTCTGCCAACAGCAGCAGGGTTTCGTGCACTTCAGGGGCGCGGTACTTCAGGCATTCTAGACTGTTGATCGTTTGTCGCGACTGTACCCCAAGCTGTCAAGAGTCGGCTTAGCTTTCGTGATTCGCAGGCATTTTTTGTGGTTTGTGATCTATGATTTGATTGGACATCCGCGGGATCTTCCACTATCAACGCCGAAGGATGCCTGCTGAAACACGACGTCTTGCATTGTTTGCAAGATGATACACCTGATAGGAGAATTTCTTGACGAGACGAGAGAGAAATTTGTAAAGAAAACGAAACATCTACGAAGCAGCTGTAACCTCAGACCTGGTTTCAAGCCGTCCTTGAACTCGAGGCACTAGTGGCTCCTTCAAGCGTCAATCTCACTAGCAGCTCCTCCAAAGTCTGCCCTTGTCCACGAAAGTAGACAAGATCTCACCATTTGTATGTGCGGGAGCTGGTTTCGAGTACTGCATGGTCCACCCGCGACCGGTCCGAAGCATGGCCAAAATCTGCAAGCTGTTGCGGTCAAGTCGCCATCTTGTGCATATGGTGGGCAAAGAAACCTGGGTGGCCGACGAAGGCCAACCAAAAAGCGTACACACACACACACACACACGCACACACACGCGCAGACACCAAATGTAACAACGCCAATTGAGACTAGACAATGGAGGCCACATCATGCATGAATACTAACAGATACTAACAGTAGCCACGATAATCTTCACAATGATAGCGTAGCACAACTCAGCAATATGATTGATAGCCTTCATGGCAGAAAATCCTGCAAGGGAGTCCCGTCTGGAAGGTACCGAAGTCTGGCGAAGTCTTGCATCCAAAGGTCGCCAAGCCCCGGCAAGCTCGACGCCCATGCATTCTGCGATCCTGGGTGTAGAGGGTTTATGGGTTTGTTTATGCCTTTTCGACACTGCAGTAGTCCGGCAAAGAGCAAGTTGTGTTTAGTGTTGCATCACTCACACCTGGGACAAGCCTGGCGAGGTTGCTGTTGCGAACAACAGCAGCAAAGTAGCCACATCAATTCTCTTCGGCACTCTACCCTAAACCTAAACCCTAAACCCCTAAACCCCAAACCCTACACCCCTAGACCCTTTTTGCCCTAAACCCCTTTTGCCACGGCTCTCATCCAAGTGCAGCGCCCCGCTCTTTCGGGCTGCTGCCTCCAGCTTAGCGTCCTGTGCATCCCGGGTGTGGGTTCAGGATTTGCGCTTTTGGGCTTAGGGCTTTTGGGCTAGCAACATACAGGTTTTATGCTTTTGGACTTTGAAATTAGGGCCTGTAGTCATGAGAGATCAGTTCTTTGACGGGGGCTTCTGGCTTCGGGGCTTCAGGGTGTTGATCGCCACCCTCCTTCGCAGATTCCTTCCCGATAGCATGTAGGAACACGGCAGATTTCGGACGCCAAACCACAAAAACCTTGAAGTCCCAAGACCCTTCTTCGGGAACGATATGGGGGTTTCCGGAAATAGGGGCCCCTTATGTAGCACCCTTCATAGAAGGGTCCTTCTTATAAGGACCCCAAAATCAAGTACCCCTGCATTTTCATAACTCCCATAAAATAGAGAAGCCTTGATGATTAGGTCAGGTCAGGGCCTAGGTGACTCGCTCAGGCCTCGTTCAGTTAACTCCGGTTGCCTGGCGATGCAAGGATCACAAATCCCGACACTTGGGACCTTCTGAAAATACAATAGGGGACCCGAATATAAAAAAACCCTAAATAGCAGCAGGATCCTTATTAATTACAAGGTTCAGTATCGTATTTTGGAGAGAGAGGGAGAGAGAGGACCTAGCTACTAGTGGTGGAGATGTGTTGCACCAAACACATGGACTTTACATACCTTCCTACTGTGGCGTGTCACGGGCATTGATTACCGTACCAGGCCGTCCTCCGCGGCCGTCACCGGATCTGAGGAGCGCTGGGCATCATGCAGATGGCGGATGTAGCAGTTGGCTGCACCTCTGCTTAGGCCAAGCTGTCGAAGTCGGATGAAAAAACACAACCACAGCCCGAGCTCAGACATCAACAAGTCAACAACGCATACATTGCACATGAAGACATGTACAAATGGGGACATAGTCAGGTAGATGGGAACTACTCAAAAGGACGTGCTCATGCCGATGCCTAGAAGATACCAGTATAACATAACATAACTATGTGCCTGAGTCCCCAGCTGCACTCTCTTTCCATCTCAGTATACCTATAGTTACGCGGTGTTCCACTTTGTCCATCTTCCCTAAAATGATGGGAATTTACAGCGTCTTAAATCTTAAACATGTGCAGTGTGCTCTTTGAGTCATCGCAGTACTCTGCAGGCCGGGCACTGAGGCATATCTGCTCCGTGCCATCAGGAGAGCTCCTCTCAAACCACAGGAACTGAAGACTGATGGAGGATCCCAAAGGGTCCTATGTACTGTTATGGGGGATACTTCCCTAAGTCATAATAGTAGTTCCTAATATGGAAACCCGACATTCTACCATATCAGTACATAGGACCCTTTGGGAAAGCGCGATCGTCAAAACCCCCGAGCCCGTAACTCCAAACCTGCCATGCGATCTATACTCGGGAGTTGAAGGCTCTTGAAGCCCGCCAAATGAGCAGCACACTCGTATGACAGCACAACCCACAGCAAAAGTGCCACGGCATGATGCACAGATGCTGCGCTGCTTTGTTGGCGATGCGACGAGAGCGGCTATCAATGCCCTGGCAGTGGGACTATCAACGTTTGCTGGCACATGTTTCGCAGGTGCAAGAGGGGCTTAGGATCTTCAATGGCTGTATAATATGATTTAATATATATATACGCAATATAATGCAAAGCATGGAATGAGCTCGGCAGATTCCGAGGACCGAACGATGCCATTTCTGGCCTCGGTCGTCGCAGTTAGGGTTTCAGAAAAGGCGATCGTGGGGTCTGAGATTCTGAAAAAAAAACAGGTTTCACGGTAGCGCAGGCGTTCATCTTCTCCTAACGTGGTTTGATAGTTTGTGAATGGTTCCATCACATGTTGTGTTTGATACTTTTGTTGTGATGTAAGCATACATGCTCTCTAGCGCCCTCGGGTTTAGGATTACAGGCATTGGGTTTAGGGTTCAGTTCCAGGCTAGGCCACTGGCTTCCTGGAGCGGAGTTGCCGAGAGGGCCCAAGGTCCAATGTACATGACTACCCAGAGGCCCCAAAGTAGTTCCTTTTTGGGGTTCGTATACAGAATCCTATAAGGTAATCCCAAAAAGGAACTACTTCGGAGCCTCTGGCTAGGTTCGATGCCTCCTCCTCAGCCTACTACTCCTACTTCTCCTACTCCTCCTATCCCTTGCTGCTGCTGCTGCTTCTGCTGCTTCTGCTGCCGCTGCGGCTACTACGACTACTGCTACTGCCACCACTACCACCATAGTCTGTCCAAGCAACATGGCCCGAAGCTTGTTGGAGACGTTCAGCCAGTCGATGCGCTGCAGGAGGGCAGGTCTCATGAAATCAATGAAATCCCTACAGCTAGAGCCCAGGCCTAGCCCCCGGGTTGAGGGTGATAGAGGTTCGGGTTTGGGGGTGGTGTCCTCGAGGCAAAGATGCCCTGGAGCCCAAACCGATTGGTGGATCTTTGAAGCCCAAAGCCCGAAATCTCCCCTCAACCAAGAAAGCGGGTGACTGCGAACTTATCCCGGGGTCACATTAGATGCGGCAAAATTAACGGTCAGGTTCGACCTATGACAGTTCCGCTAGTGCTTCGTGCAAGCAAAAACAAGTCTGCAGCATCTGCACAACCGCCAGTTCCACCCGTTCAAAGCCATGCCAACAATAGGAGCTTGTTGCAACTCGGACACCCGACCATAAGGAAGTTCATTCACGTGATCCCAGAGGATTCAACCCCTTCTGACTTCCGCTCACCATCATAGCATCCGACAGCACCCCAGTAGCGCAGACAGGAACAAACCCAGAGCTGATGACCCCAAAGTGGGTTCTTGGTCAGGTATAAAACTTAAAACAAATAGGGATCTATAGTAAATAATTGAGGTATCTATACTAATGATAATAATTATCTTAACCTAAGTTCCTTAACAAGATCCCAGCAAAGCGAGTTTCGCTCACCCCCTGCCACCCGAAGTTCCCTCGAGCCACAAGCTTTAAATTCGTAAATTCAGCTTAAATACTATTCAAGTTTAGGGTTTAGGGAAAAACTACTGGGTTTAACCGCAACCAAACACTTCGGTAGCTGGACCTGGCCGCGCTCTGCGAGGAGCTCGCGAAGCCTATTGCAAACCGGGACCGGACGTACTGCGGTGTTGGATCTTCCATTATGAAACTTCGGATTCAATCAGTTGGGGCTTCAGGGTGTCGGATTTAGGGCCTCGATACCCTTTTGAGCACGGACTGAGATTGTATGCCGGCAAGGGCAGCACCTGAGGCAGAGCCTTCCCGAGTCCAAGCTGTACAAGCGGCCTCGATACCCTGAACAGTAAACTGTGAATCCACACAGGAATTATCGGGTAGGAGATTGCAGAATTGCGCGGGAGAGGGCTTGAACTGCAATCCGGGCTCAACAAACTACCTATAGTCTCCATTGTAGTTCCTTTTTCTGGTTTAACAAAATATTTGATTAGGATCCTATAAGGTAACCCCAAAAAGGAACTACAATGGAGACTGTAGGTATCTCCACTAAAGAGATAAAATCGCTTAACATCTTCTTCTGCTAATCTTGACCCAGCAAGCAGCACTCACCGCTCTCCGCGCAGTCGTGCATCCCTGCTACTCGGTGCGAGACTCTGCATGCACATTTTTGCAAGGATCACCGGCCCCCGCACCGGAATGCAACACAGAGATACACAGAGTTTAGGGTTTAGGGCACAGTTGTAGATCAGTGACTAGCAAGCTGCAAGCAGATGCACTTGTCGCCAATTAAACCTGAAGGCGTTGAAAAAGGTTGTCACTGCCTCTTTTGCTGCACTTGCTGGGCGAGCTGAACGAGACGCTTCTGACGCCTCGGCAAGAGGGAACGGTGTGACTGCTGTTAGTGATGACAATAGCAGCAATCAAAACGTTACCAGCCATGGACACGCAAGCTTTCCTGAAACTCTGCACGGCCAACAGGCAAGCCGAGCCCAAGCTCCCAAATGAAAGCCTAAACCCTAAACCCACGCTAAACTCCAAACCCATCAAAAATCCTAAACCCACCTTAATCAAGCCCCAAAACCCACCCTTTTGAACCCAGACTCTGCCGATCAGTTGGGAAGCAACACTGCCAATCTGAGCAGCAGGACCGCCAGGCTTAAACCCCGAAGCCCTCAGCACGAGAGGCCTGCAAACACTCAAACTTGAAGCCTCAGCAGCCTAATCCCTGAACCAACATCCACCCTAAACCCTGAAACGCTGAACCAAAATCCACCCTAAACTCTAAACCCTCAACCATGGTCCACCATAAGCCCTCAACCCACCCGAAACAGTCTACTGAAAGCCTGAGCCCCTCTCGCCGCGGGCTTGCAGTCTTCCAGGCCCTCTATAGCTTCCTGGAGCGCTGCCTGTTTGGGAAGTTTCTGGGTTAAAGAGGGCTTTAGGGTTTAGCGTTGAGTTTAGGGTTTATACAGTTTATTTTTAAGTCTTGATAATAAGGGTTTGGGTTGAGAGGCTTTTACAAGGTTTCGGGTTTAGGGCTGTAGGCGGGGGATTTAGGGTTTGATGGGCTTCCGGTGTTGAGGGTGAGCAGCTCCGGGTTTAGGGAGCTTGACATCGCTTTCGCGGTTTCTAGTCCTGAAGCTTGTGAGGGCTCCTTTTAATTGCTGATGTAACGAATCTGGCTCTAGCTTCTAGGATGGAATGCTGTGTCAAGCGAAACCGTAAGCTCCTCGCACAAAGGTGAGAAGCTCTCTCGGTTGAAATGGTACTGCACTTACAAGGGCAGCCCAGACATGTAGTCAACACTCAACATTGAAGAACCCGAAATACACCGGCCGCAGTGTAACCTCCCCTCGAAATAATATTAAGGCCTCAGTTTGAGCCCAGGCTCAATCCCTGCATCAGCTGGGAAGCGGCAACCAACATTACTACTGCATGTCGGCAAACCACATCAACCAATCCATCTCCTGGCTTTTAAAAGTGGAAGGGCCTGAGTAATTAGAGTTCTGGGCCCGCAGGAACAGCAATACTCATTCTTCCGACCCCTACGTTCCACCCGCATTGACCTCCTGAAGCTCGGCGTGCAAGGCCTCGGATGTGGCCGAAGTGCCAAGAAGAGAAAGGTATGTTGGGTCCACTTTTCGCTCCTCCCTAGCAAGCACACGCCTGCATTGCATGCTAACTCCGAAGAGCAGTTGACATTAACGCTCTCGCAACTCGGAACTTGAACGACACTTCTCCGTCTCACACGGAACTGTAGGGTTAGGAGTTTAGGGCTTATAGGAGCTGAGCTCAGGATTTACAGATTTACGAGTTTTTTGCTTAGGGTTTCGCGTTTGGTGTAAGGTTAAGCAGGCTAGGGAATCTGGAGCGTAGTGCGCAGGCATGCGGCATAGCTGTCGTCTACATAGCAGAGCTATTCATCAGGACAAGGACGTTGATTCATCATTCTTGGGCTTGGTACGTCGAATGCACTATGCATCATGCTACAGAGTGCATCCCGACTCCGACAGCTTTGAAGCATCTCCTGCGACTAGCGGGAGGAGGCAAACAAACTTTCTGCAGCAGTGGGAATGCAGTTTTGCAAATAGCTAGTCGTGGCGGGGTGGGAAGCTTGCTCCATGAATTGACAATTCAGGATACAAGCGTAAATTTCAGCCTAGGATACGCATGTTTCTTCTTGCGACTCTGAGTGGCAACTGCAATGCTTCAAAACTTCCTGAATACTAGCTGGCGTCGTGAAGAATTCTAAGGAGGTCGGAGTAGTAGCTACCTCCACACCGCTGCAAAACGCTGTTTGTTTAGATATTCTATAGCTAAACACGCACATGCCGGATGAGTCTATGAACAGAACACGAAAAACCATGGACACGCCAAGACAGGCTGCGCGTTGAAGCAGCTGCTTCTCTGTAGGTGTCCACTCGACCCTGACGAGACAAAAGCGCAAAATAGCAGCTCCTAGTTGCGCAAGGAATATACCTTAAATTTTAGTAGGATCCTTAATATGATTGAAGGTATATTCCTTAATGAGGGGATATTGGAGTCTCTGGGGACTACTCTTCCATATACTGTTCCTTGTCTTGGTGAGGCTGTTACAGGTACATCACCACGACGGCAACGACGAGGACGGCTGCTCCTGCTTGACTCCTACTCCTACCCATAGGCCCCAAAGTAATTCCTTTTTGGGGTTCATATATAGAATTCTATTAGGTCATCCCAAAAGGAACTACTTTGGGGCCTATGGGTAGGTATTACAACTATTAAATTGATACTGGCATATGTCGGTAGGCAACAAGACTGCAATAAGTGTCACGCCCTTTGAAGGGCATGCCCGAACGGCTTGTTGCAGTTTGTCTGCTGGCCCACATCGAGAAACCATGCCAGTGCAACGCGGAACAACACCGAACAAGTAAAGCCTTCGATTGTCATGAAACGCCAGAATCGTTGACTACTGTCGGTCGCTGTCAGTCACGTAGCTTGAGCTCTTTGCGCATCCTCCAAAGCCAGCGCTCTCCCATAAGCAAAAGTCTATTCGATCTGGAAGCTGATGAATGCTAACCTGCATGAAATGACCATGTCTATCTTTCAATGCACGTAAACACACATATGCATGGCTACCCACCTGCCATTTACATACATGCATACATTACATCCATACGTCCATATACATGCATACATACCTACTTACCCACTTGCTTGCTCAGCCTCCCTACTTCCTCGGCATACTCAAAACAGATCGGGATGTATAGCCAGACTGAGGGAGGCGAAAGAAGCGTTGAGTGCTCGAAGGCTCTAGCACGGGCGAAACAATACCTCGCACAGAGTAGCACAAACAGTCTCTAAGTCTCCATGTATCCATATAGCATCGCATATACTCAAACCTCAACGTACCGAGACAGGAACCCGTTTGCGGCCTAAGTATATACTATCTTATATAAGTATATGGAGTCTTAGGGGGGAGTGGTGTTCCAAAGCATGCCAGGCCTCTCTGCATAAGCTGCTTGAAGAGTGCTAGCACGGTAGGACCAGCGCTTCTTGGCATCCGAGTTACCTAGCATGGCTACGGCTTCCGGAGCTAGATGCAAACACATCATGGCACACTGAACTGACAAGAAGCAGACACAACAGCAGCAGCCTACAGTGCGTGGCGGGAGCACAATCAGAAAGATTGGATACACCAAGGACTCTCCAGCTCGATGCTGGAGCATCCTTTTGTCTGCGGCTGTGGCATCGTTCAGAGGCTCTCTCGGCTCTCCTATATTCTGTCCTGATGTGATGTAGAATGTATGGTCCGCAAGGACAGAAAGTCCAAGTAAACCGTACTCACTTCATCACACACAGACACGTCACTCAGCATGCCCAACCAGGCCACTCAAGCTTAACACATTCTACGGCTCTATGAATCTCCTTTGCTTGCGGAAGGCTTCCCGAAATCAAATCATCTCGCTTCCAAGAGACAGGGAAACACCGGCGCGAAAAAACGAGGCACGCCGGTGTCTGGAACACCACATCTCGGCAGGGTCAAGCGATGAGATTGCCGCTCCGTTGTCTCGATGCTGTAATTGGAAACTTCACATAGCTCGTATTTCGCAGCTACCACCTTCCGGCCGTACCTCAATCTACTTGTCAAAATGCAAGGTTGTCAAAGCAAGCACCTCTGCCTAATGCGTTCGTGCATGTTGCTGTCGTACGAGCACGGAGGCTTGAATGATTTATCACGCTGCCCAATCCTCGCGCTTAGGATGTAATTAATCTGCATCTCATCTCGGGAGTCTCGGATAGCACGGTGAACAATTTCAATAACTTGCCGGTATCGCTGTGACTTGCAGGAGCATGCGCGCGGGCAAGATCCGCAGATAGACACACAACAAAAAACAGTTTCAGCAACTTTGCAAAAACATGGCTTCTACAGGTGCGCAGCATGTATACAAATAGTGTATGCAAACACACCCACACACAGACACACACACACACACACACATCTCTCTCTCTCTCTCTCTCTCTCTCTCTCTCTCTCTCTCTCTCTCTCTTCTTCAGCACAGGCAGAGGGAAGCGCGATCCGAGGTCCGCGCCCCCCTCGCGCGTTACCGCGCACTGGGGGGTGTACAGGTTTGACAGAACTACCGAGACAGTTTGTGGCTAGATTCACCGGCTCTCCCCCCAAAAACCACTAACCTAACCCCCAACCCGCCTCGGAGGCTAAGTGGGGAACCCCCCTACGACCGGTGAACGAGCAGTTGTCTCAAGCTTGGCGCCGCACAGCACCATGACCACCGTCTTGGTGGTTCGTTTCCAGCCGTTCGGTCACACTCGTTCACAACACTTGGACAGCATTCACGGCAAGTTACAGTTACACGACAGTAAATTTTCGGGTGGTGTGCGACTGGTTGCTAGTGCGAAAAGCGCAAAAAGGCTGTACAACTGAGGCCCTGGCCGCACCAACATTATCACACAACAGCAATCTGCTCTCTCTCTCTCTCTCTCTCTCTCTCTCTCTCTCTCTCCTTTGAAACATCTATGTACATGCATATGTACAGCTTTACATGTGTGTGTGCATACATCTATTTGCATGCATGTAGCATCATGTAGCCACACGGCCCACCCCTCGCAAACACGAAGATCACCTTTCAACCGAGTACACCGCCAGAGAATAATGAGAAACATGATTGACAGTCTATCCACCAGGTCATACGGCACATGAATGCCAGAATGGCAAAAGGACATTGCATATGACCGTGACTGACCATGCATATCATGTGCCAGTCTCAGTGTCTACATGCTGTGATCTAAATCAGACCTAGATTCTTGCCGCTAAAAAAATTGAGCTAGCCGATGCATGTACCTGAACCGTGTGTCTATTGAAGTTGTGTCTACTTCAGTCGACGTATTTTTTGGTCTGAGCGGTTCCAGACTGACATCACGTACGGTTGATGATATAAATCCTGCATTACCCATAATAAGGAATATACCATAATTCCCATAGTCCAGGGTCATTAAGGTAATGCAGGATCTACATCATCAACAGTATCTCCTGCCGCAGTCGCGAGTCGCCGCAAGCAATCCGAAATCCAACACCACCAAGGTGCAGCAAGCCAGAACCCTAAACCCGAAAGCGCAAAACAGAACAACAGCCCGGAGATGTGCGCCTTCTGCGCAATGCCCGGAAATGGGCTTCTGCCGCCTCCTCCTCACTGGGCCACCCAGGCTTAGGGCTCAGGGCAACTATTGGCAAGACTCCTGGATGGTCAGTAGACGAGGCTGTCAAGATCTCGCTGATCCCAGAAGCAAAGGATAGCGTTTATATAGGGAGAAATTGAGAATAGCACCCAGAAGAAAACTCAGAGCCAGCAGAGCTCCATCCATTCCCCAAGCAAAGAATAAGATTTGGCGCTTGCGATAGGGACCCCTCGTACTGCGTCTTATCTTCTGAGGTCGCAAACGTGTGGCTCAACTTGAACATGACCACTCGCAAAACTGACAGATTTCCCTGAGAGTCTGAGGCTTTGTGAATCTTTGCGATTGCATTCTGGCAGGATCACGTCTGCGGGTCTCAAACTCGGATCGTAATTTTTTGGGGGTCCCATATAAACCCTACATCTGAAAGAGAGGCTTGAAGGGGTGTTCTGTGAGGGCCGTGGGTATTCAACAGGACAACCCCCGCCAAGAAAAGCAGTGCAAACTGAGGGAGTTGCCGGCGTCTTCTCCAAAGCTCGCTTGGAACTTGGCTCGGTAGTGTTGTCTTCTCCTCCTTCAGCGAGTGAAACAGGTCTTGTTGGGGTCAGGGCTCCTTGCATCCTACACCCGCGTTCCATTTTAACCGCTACGAAACCGAAGGTAGCGTGAGATACTGAAAGGGTGTGTGACCTGAGTAGTGCACGGCCTAGAACAACGACCTACAGTGTCGACTGCGATTATCTTCATCCGTGCAAGCTTAGCCGAAAGACGTGCCTTCGCGCTCTAATACTGTGGCGTAGCAGTGATGTGGGGGCTGCGTCATCTTATGGGTGCCTCATTTCGGCGTACCATATAAGGGTGAAAATGCAATCAAACCGCTGACGATATGAGACTGAACGTATGAGTTGCAAACTTATCTCTTGACACCAAAGGGTGCATCGGGTAAGGTCGACCTTACACCCTCTTATGATTGAGCATGCAGACAACCTACACGCAGCTCCCCACACATCGATTGATAGGGACTTGTCGGGTCATGGTTCAACCCAAATGACGCCCCCTTCAGAAAGGATCGTCATTGGCTTTCGTGATTGAACCTGTGGTCCAGAAGAGTGCGGTACTTCAAACAAGTAGTGTCATCACTGCTGCGATTCTAGGAACGGCTGTACTTCTGATGACCAATTACGCCATAAACCCTTGTCTGCAGCTGGGCGCTTATGCCGTAAACTTTAAGCCCTTAACGACCGCTACGTGCCGTAGAGGGGACATCCCGATCCCGGCTTTACACTCGACCGTGATGAAATGGCGAGCTCCTTTTCGTAAGGACCCCGGAAAGGGGAGCTTAAATTTCCAAAACCACCATATCACAAACCACAGTTACGGGCCCCCACGTCTTGGGCCCGGGATGGCCAGGGCGAGATCTGCCGCTCCTCTTCTGTGGAAGAATCTGCGTCGCTGCTTCTGGGTGAGGCCACCTTGGTTAAGAGGGTTATAGTGTCAGGTTTAAGGGTTTGTAGGGTTTAGTTGTCAAAATTAGGGTCCCTTTTTGGTCCTTATTATAGTACGGCACCTTATATTCAGGGTACCCAAAAAGGGACCGTTATTTTGACAACTACCCAGTTAGGTCTGTAGGGTCATGTACATGTCATGTACTAGAAATCATCAGAGGCACCTTCCTGGCGATCTTCTTAGCCACATGTCACGGCACTTCGAGCTGAGGTCTTCACAAACCCCCGATAAGACGAACCGATTACAACAAGTTATATTACAGAAAAAGGAAATGTGACGCCCCTTTCCTGTCTTCCCCAACTCTGCTGCAACAAACCCCTGAACCCTAACCCCTAAATCCTAACCCCTGTAACCCCTAAAGCCAAAACCCTAACCCCGAAACCCTGTAGGCTGGGTACGCATGGCCACAGGAACGGCGGCGTCAGAGCGGCTCTCGTCTTTGGACGCCATGTCGGATCAGGTTCGACACATCTATGAACTCGGCAGAGCACATACCCTAAGGCTCTAAGGGGCTTTTGGGCCTAAAGACCATCTTATATATGGCTTTTGGGCCATTTAGAGCCTTAGGGATAGGGTATGGAGTTCGGGTTTAACTCTGTGCCTTTGTTTTGGGCATACGGGACTTTACTAGAGGATGCTAAACGTATTGTCTGCATCTTCAACTCGCTACGCCCTGAAACCCATACAGTAATTAACTGGACCCTGAGAACCTTAATTACTGTAACATCGAAAAAGAGGTAGGTTATCTTATCAGGAGTCGCTAGTTATAATCTTCAGGAGCCTCTACAACCCAGAGACTCTAATATCCCTGAATTAAGAATACCAGGCGTTTTGGAGTCTCTGGGAAGCTGCTGAGCAGCTTGGAGCTTAGGTGTCAGGAGCCTAAGGCTTGAAGCAGGAGCCTAAAGCTTTAGAGGTTGAGGGTTTTGGGATTTGGGGCTTCGGGGCATGTGGCATGAGGATTACGGCCTACAAGCTTTCGGAAGTTTAGGGCATAGGGCTTGTGGATTTTTAGGTGTAATCTTGCTTGCCCACTCCCCCCCCCCCCACTGGAGCACAATGCAGCTGCGTTGGTGCTCGGTCTGCTAATAAACCAGGATTCGCCCTCCCCCACACGAGCAGCAACTAATTTGGGTGAAGCAAGTGAAATTAAACCCAGACCCCTGGCTCCCACACCCGAGCCCCCTAAGATGTCAGATTTACTAGATCACTGCACCCAACCTTGCTTTTTGCCTCCCGCCTTGCTTGGGGTCGAGCCTTATAGCCTAACGAACCCACTACGAACCCTACCGATCAACACGGAAAGGACCGGCCGAAAAAATCTACAGAACTTCACGACCGGAGCCAAGTTCCTAGTCCCCTGCATGTGGACCGACAAGATCGCTAGGGAATGAGATCGAAGAACGAGAGAGCCATGGGAGTTTCCGAGAATAGGGGAACCTAATATAGTACCCCCAAATAGTAGGATCCTTATTATAAGGACCCCAAAATAAGGTACCCCTAATTTTCGGAAACTCACCCATAGTACCTTCAAGAATCATCCTCCAAAGAGCCGGGGCTACATTTGTTCAGGCGTCTGTCTTTCCAGGCCCCCACCCCTTTTCAATGGTGTGGTCTGGTAGGGATGGGGGCCGGCGTGTGCGGAGAGGGTTCACAGAGAGGGCTGGGGTCTTACGCAAGGCCTTTGCAACCCATAAACTACAGAACGTAGCACGTGCTCCTGTATTTAGTATAATAAGTCAAGTGTTAAGTATAGCCTGTACTTTAAACACCGCAGCCAATCCTAAACCCCGCCTAAAGGCAGGCTCTAAGCCTGAAGCAGAACATAAACCGTACCGAACCTGTACCCCAAACCCTCCCTAAGCTCTTGTCGACTGGAAGGCTTATACCCTTGAGCCTTATAAAATCTTTTTAGCCCTAACTAACCCAAAACTAATAATACGCTTAAGCCTAAGCTAAACACTAAACCCAAAAACCACCCCACAGCGGGAAGAGGCCCACATCCCGCCCCGCAAACACCCCCACAAAAAAGCTGGCACCTTGGACCACAAGGGGGGAGGAGGGGGGAGGGCGGAGGTGGTGCGAGCTGCTCGACATGTTGGACGAGACCTGCTCCTGACACCAAATCAGAATCAACTGCAAAACCGGAGTCCCAAACCCCACGCCGTACCCAAATCCTGCCTTTGCTTCAGCCGTTTGCCTTCGATCCAGCTGCATGGACTTCGCCTCGAGAAATCGAACGTTGAAACGTCTCTCAAAACTCCCACCACTTACATTGCCTCACAGAGTGTTCCCGCGACTTGCATCACTGGGCGGAGATAATTAACAAGGACGACTTCGCCGCTCTCTCTCTCTCTCTCTCTCTCTCTCTCTCTCTCTCCCGTACCACGGGATCAGAGTCTGACGTCAACGATGCTCCAATACAAGCAGGACGAGCAGCAACTAGTGATCAATAGCCAGTAAGTCTTTTAAGTGCCAGTGAGGGAGGAAAGGCATCGGAGCGGAATGGAGTGAGTGCCTGACTGGCCGACTGACTGACTACCGACCAATGCACGCACAAATCACATGAGGCAATGGCAGCGACGATGTGTACAACACTCCAACGACAACAACGATGACAAAATCAGTGATTTTGACAATAAAGTGGCACCGACAACCAGCAGAGCCAGACACAGAGAGATGGTGTGTTCCCAGGATTTCGGGAGGAGGATTTGGGGCTTGGGCTTATAGGGTTTGATGGTTGAGGAGTTGGGACGATTTAGTTTAGGGTTCCGGCGTCAAGGATTTATTGTTGCACTGGGTTTATGTACGTGACCCTTCATGATGCGCTCCGGGCTGTTCAATTCAGAAGTATAAGTACACTGTATATCGTGCTCCCGTTTCGGCCGGATTTGTATTTGAGAGGGGTCTGGGTGGGCACAAAACGCAGTACAACACTAGGATCAAAATTGAATTCGGGCTTTTGTGGTGGCTTCAGGGTTCAATATTTCAATTATGAAAATTGCAACACACCTTTTGTCCAGGGTTTCGGGTTGGGGATTAGGGCGATTAGGGGTTCGGTCAGGGACGATTAATGGCAATCTCCTCCTGTCCGCTTTGATTACCATTCTGAGGCAGCTACCGCATCCTTCCAAGCCGCTAAGGCCACCTCCCACAATGAACGGGAGCTTGAGGGACAGCATCCGAAAGGCAGGTTTCTGACAGGTTCATAGTCCCAAACAGCCATCGGAGGTCTGGGTATTAGTTTTGGGAGCGGCACCCCCTTGGATTATTCGCATTGATTCGATCGGATGCCCGCTGCGAGAGACAATCTCATGCCTATTAAGTTTCTAGGCGACAACAGCTATACGTTTGCATGCGCACGATGGACATCTTGAGGCGCTTACAGAAAATGGCGAAAGCGGGCATCGCGGCGCAGCTTGGCCCTTGTCTCATCCCTCACGCAGGACCAGATGCTGACTTTGACAACCTCAGTCGGCCTCTCAACGCAGCTACTGTTGAAAACCTGAAAGCTTTGAGGGCCCAAGCACGGCTACACCAGCGAAACTGAAACTACTAAACTAGAACGGCCCTCAAGCCTGAAACCCCTCATATCCGGAGCATAGATCCTCATATATTCGCCTTAAATGCCGAAAACCGGAACTCTGAATGCTACAACTCCCGCAACTGTACGCTAAGGACCCAAAGTAGTTCCTCTTTGGGGCTCGTATATAGAATCCTATAAGGTAATCCCAAAAAGGGAACTACTTTGGGGCCTATGGGTAAGCCCAAGATCTTCCAAAGAGTGAAATCCCGAAGCTGCTCAGATTCCCAAAGTCATTTGCCTTCGAGTGGGGCGGCCCCATCTTCTTGAGCTCCTCTTGTGATGAAAGGTTTATGGGTTTAGGGTCTTAGGGGCTTAGGGTTTGGGGTTTAAGGGTTTAGGGTTTGGGAGCTTAGGGTTTGGGGGTTTAGGGTTTGGGGGTTAGGGTTTGGGGTCTAGGGTTAAGGGGTTTAGGGTTTGGGGATTTAGGGGTTAGGGGTTTAGGGTTTAGGGGCTTAGGGTTGACTCAGAAGTTTGTAGGGCTGACAGCTTACGGTTTGGACTCTAGCCTGCTTCTTGGATTCACCCGGCTTTTTGCCACCCGCTCAGCTGACCAGGTCGCACGCCAGGAAACACAAAAGGAACGGAGAAGGGGCAAGCCCTGGGGTATCCCGCATGCATATCCCAAAACAACCCTTAAGCTACCCAGCAGAAACCAGCTGACTCTCGTGGCGCGGGGGAGCTGTACAATTATCAGGAGGCGTACAATATGCATGAAGGCCAGGACATACTCCGTATAGGATTTAAGCAAAAGAAGTGCAGCTGCCCTGTCTCTATGCATGCGCATCCTGAAACCCTAAACCCTAAACTTAGATTGCACGGTTTGCCTCAACGGCAAGCTCACGAAAGTCTGTTGCTGGGAGTATCTGTGGGGCAAATCTGAAACTGAAACCCATCCAGCTTTCCCCATAAAAACCGTCGCAAGGAGCTGCGCCCTGAGCCCGGCCTTCTAAATTCTCACCCAGGAATGAGTTTAGGGATATTTAGGGTTTAGGATTGGGGATTTAGGATTGAAGGCAGAAATTCCCTATGCCAAAACAGGAGCTACATGACAGCAGCATGCTCTTGAGAATTCACCGACTTGCTTTCGAATCCCGACCAGGAGATCAAACACTGCCAAACGAAGCTTCAGATGTGGTACTAGTAACGGGATTCTTTTGGTTCCTTTGAACCGCATCCGAAACATGGGCATTCACAAGAAACGGTGGTACAATTTCGGCAACAAAAAGAGCTGACAGGATCTCACTACAGCTGTCAGGGTCTAGGGCTGGGGTATACGGGTTACGACATACGGCTGCAACAATCGAGTTTGTACGGCTCAAGGGTAGCATGACGAGCTTGCAATTTCAGAGCTGCAAGGCCTTGCCTTGAACGTAAGCACTGTAGCTCTTACTGGGTTTGCACGCCATCTTGGGTGTACTTGTATACGATGTTGCCTCTGCCCGTCCTGCTCGGGATTGCATCCGAGCTCCGCCTGCAGAATGAAGTTTCGTGGATCTTCGAACGAACACGTGACGGATCCATCTGGGAAGAGCACTCGCGGGTTCGGGATGTAGGATTCTTATGTAAAGCTAATAAACGACTCTAGGATGCAGTGGTGAAGTGTGTCGTCTGTCTGTCTGTGTGTGTGTGTGTCTCTGTGTCTCTCTTTCTCTCTCTCTCTCTCTCTCTCTCTCTCTCTCTCTCTCTCTGTACGTGTGTATGCACGGGTGTGTGAACCATGTTTGTTTGTGTGTGTGTGCGTGTGTGTGTGTTAGGAACGGTGGGCTTTGGGAGAGAAGGAGTTTTTGAGGCGTAACACCTTGGCGAGAAAATGCCACCCGCATGTCGACAAGTTTCTTCCAACATCTTGAAAACGCCAAGGGCC